CATTAACTGAATGTTCGGGCACTGATCTCTTTCCAGGAGGTCCATTTATCGACTTACGTAACGATATAGTGCAGTTTGGCGAAGACGCTGATAAAATGCAGAGTCTTTTGGCAGCACTGAGTAACAATGCCAGGATATTTTGGATGTGTTTCTCCCCCTTTAAATGCAAATTGTTGCTTCAGGACTGGTCTGCGTCAACACCTGAACTAAGGATAGGGAGTGAAGTAGTTGAACGCGTCGACAACTTCACTTATCTTGGAAGTCTGTCAGCCCTAATGGGTTGGTTTCTGACGAGATCTCTGTACGGATTCAAAAAGCTCGTTTGGCTTTTGCAAATTAATGTCACCTATGATGAAGGCGAGATATCCGTCTATCAATTAAAAAACGAGTATACTGCGCGGCAGCTCGTTCTGTTCCACTTTACGGCTGCGAAACGTGGCCATTAGGAGTAGAAGATACTCGGAAATTACTAGTATTTGATGACAGGTGTCTTCGAAATATTGCTCCTACTTGCTAGGATCACCGGGTAAGTGATAGTGAGTTTAGACGCAGGGTACTAAGGAATGGTGGTAAATCAGTTGGTGAGATTGTAAGTCTACATAGGCTAAGATGGTTGAGCCACATGTTACGTGTACCTGAACATCGGTTATTACAGTACGCAATGCTGACTAGTGTTGAAGGCGGGTGGGAGAAAGTTTGGGGCGGTCAAACTAAAACGTGCAATCAGTGCTTGAAGTCACATACTTCTAGTCTTAACCATGTTGTTTGGTGTAGACTATTTGGTTAGGGTCTGTGTGACTATCGTAACTAGTGGTTGAAGACTGGGTGATATAGCTCAGAATAGATCACAATTGCGTCGGTGCATACATTCTTTGTCTTCCCTTAAACTGTGAGATAAAAATTGCTTTGTATCTTTCCTTCTACAAACTAATTCTTTCTCCATGTATTATATCACTACATGCAATCTTTCTTTTATATTACCGCCATTGAAGTAACCACTTATATGAATATGGTGTTCATCTTGGTGAAATATCATAAATTATTCACAGTTGAAATTGTACCATTGGATCCTAAACCAGTGGTTTGATGTTCACTGTGGAACTGAAGTTGTCGGGTTCAACCCTTTGATGAAGTCGTTATCAAGAATAAAAGTATTTAAGTCTATCAACAAACATGTCACAAGGCTAAAGCAGCCCAGTGGTAACGTTACAGTTTGTGAGCCTGAGTGATGGGTGGTTTGAATTCAACTGGGAGTATCGATTTCCTTAAAATTGTAGGTATGAATTCCTGACCACTTCCAACTAGTTTCAAAATCTTAATCTCAAACTTCGGGCCGAAATCCAAGACTTGATATCATTAATTTCATCGTTTCATCCATAAATCATAGTCTCGTAACAAACTCAAATGCAGATGAAGATGTTATAATACTACCCGCATAAAAATTGATGTAAACGATGAAAAACTGAATTTTCAAAATAAAACAAAATCAATGGAGTCAAAAATTAATTAATTATTATAAGCAAAGATGGATAATGGCTAGGATGCCTGTTTCATCTTATTTGGGACACGTCAGCTAGATGTACCTACATCCTAGGACTTAAACCCAGTATCGTTTGCTTTAGACGCCATCGAGTTATCCATTTAGCCACTGGGTCCCACTAGCTACTAGGACAAAATGCGTGTCCTGGATTCCACTGCTGGCCACTATCCATCTTTGCTTATAATCCTAATAACTGAAGGCAGGATACATATATGCCAATAAGAGATAGATCAATTACAGTCTTAAACATCAATGAGAAGTTTTAAACAAACAATATAAAATTAGTTTTTGTTATAATAGTTAAAGGTCATAGAGGTGTAAGAAATAAATAAGGTGATATGATGAGCATTTACAAATAAAATAATAAGAATATAATAATAATAACAATAATAATAATAAGATAATCAAAATAATTAAGGCCAAGGTAACGATAACAATATGACGTACTTCTTTTGTACGCATAGTTCTGATTTAAGCTCCTGGATGGTAAGAGCTTCGGCTATTTTTAAGAGTTGGATGCGAAGAAATCTGGGTAGATTTGAACGAATCATATAAACCTTTGTGGATCTGTAGAATGGTTACAGTCGATTAGGTGTTCAAGTATAGAACTCCTAACAGCTTTCCTTTCACTCTTATAGAACCAAGCTGTTATATGTTCCCGTATCCAAGTTGAAAGCGAGCGCTGGCTACGGTCAATGTACCTTGCTCTACAAGAGCAGGTGAACTGGTAGATGCGAATAGAGGCGATCAGACGCGGAAGCTCATGTTTTATGGATACAGAAAATAAGTTCTTACTAGTGAAGGTTATTCGCCGTTTAGCCGCGTTAAATGTTCTTCTAATCGTTGTTGTTAGACAATTTTTGATTACGTCTGATGTTCGATCACCTTTAAATTCCAGACTTATATATGAAGGTTTTTCTTCGGGACGGAACAACTTGGTTGCTTGTCACAACTACTACTTTTTTTCTATGAAACGTTCTGGGTAATCATTTATCGTTACCTTGGCCTTAATTATTTTGATTATCCTATTATTACTATTATTATTACTATTATTGTTGCATTCCCCCCTTTACTTATGTCTTATATTCTCATTATTTTATTCATAAATGCTCATCAATATAAAATTAGTTACTTATTATGTCATTACACTATCAATCTATTGACTGTTTTATAAACTACACTTCACTAAATACCATTGAAAAAACATGCAAATCTAGACACCAAAAAAAAAGAAAAGAAACATTGATAATTAAAAATTCCTTTCTTTCTTTTGAAATAGTCATGACTAAACTGAAGTGAATTTTGTTGATTGACTAACAATACAAATAGAAAATCATATGACCAAAAACAAAGAATTGTTTGAAGTACAGGTGAATCAATTGATTATAATGTTAATTATCACTTAGCAACATATTAAGAAATTGATTCCTAGTTGTCACTCTTGTTATATCACCTGGACTTGTCAGCTGAATGTATCTCCATCCCAAATTTGAAGTTTACTTCGAGACTCAAACCCAGTACTATTCGCTGCAAACGCCTTTGAGTTATACACTTAGATACTACGTTCAGATATCCCTCGACCAACCGGTACAATTGGCACGTAACTACTTCACACTCAACATAGTTAAAATTTACTAGCCACAGTTAACCAGTAAGACTTTTTATGGATCTGAAAGTTCACATCTCTACTTCAAATAAGTGCTAGTCATATCGTCTACAATGATAGTAAGACCTCCACAGACTAACACAGAAAATGTAAGGTCGATAGAAATAGGATCATATCTTAGTATGGAATTCTTAAGCTGTTCTTATCAATGACCTTCGGATCTTACAGAAAACGCTTAACTATTACAAATTGAGATTGTACCAACAGCAGTCGAACCAGTGGTTTGAATGGCTAATTGTAAGCTGAGAGACTTAAAAACAGTGTGTTAACTTCAAAATGAGATTGTGAGTTTCCAAAAATAGGGACGCTCAATATCATGACCAGACAATTTTTCATTGCTCCCTGATGTCAATGGAATCTCAATTAAGATCAGTTTGTGACAAATACAATTGACAGCCTAAGTTAATCTCCATAAAACCGCTTTAACTGAGTTAAAATATCATTTACTAAAAGTTGGAAAGCCAGAATGATACACTAAAGACACAACATTCAGTAAAGTGGTCTGGTAGTTTTAGTCAGTTTATTTAGTATAGAAGGAATCTTTAATAAATCAAGATTTCATTAGTTAAGATCATGAGTCAATTAAAGCTAGACCAACATGGAAAACTTGGAAGCACTGGACGACCGTTTCGTCCTACTGTGGGTCTCCTCAGCATCAATGAAATTACTATAATAACCAAATAACCGCCTACTGATACAAATCAAGTAGAGTTTTCAATAGCACACAGATTTCTCAATACAAATGATTGAGTTTTCCATTGGATATTGAAAGTTAGGATATCACTCTTTAAAGCAACGTTATGGAATTCGTGTTATTTGTTATTAAATAAGCGTTCATTAACAAATTTCATGACAATCATAAAATAAAATAATGAATAATATAAAGTACTACTTACTGTTGAATGATTGTAGTAATATTAGTCTCGTTTATATTTTTATCAAAACTACCAATGAATGCTTCATTGACATTATCTTGTTTTGATGAAATAGACAATGATGATGATGATGATAATGATGATGATAATAATGTAGAATGTGTTAAATTTTTACTAAGTGTACGTTTACGTGGTATTAAACCAAGTGTTTTACAATATTGTTCATAAGTAATAAATCCTGTATGTTCAGGATCAAATAATTCAATCCATTTATGTAAGAATGTTTCTTTATAATGCATTTTATACATATAATTTTTTAAATCTTCAATTGTAATTACACCACGTTTCTCAGTATCTAAGTTTTCAAAACATTTACGAAATTCAGCCATTGGTTATGTATATGTATGATGATGGTGATAATGATGATGAAAGTCCTGGATACCAGCACAGTTAGATTTATATTCCGGTTCTGATCAAATTCTCAATAATACAAAATGTGATAATCTTCTTGAAATAAGTGAATAACTACACTAATTCAATACGTATAAAAATGTGGTTTGTTTATTCCAATGCCACGTGTAAAACATACTGTTTTTTTTAAATTTTTTTAAAAAACTTTTAAAGTGATGGTTAATTTGTATAGCAACCTACATAAAATCATTCTTATTGGTTAATTTTAACAATAATCAATGGGCCGAAAACTAGTTGAATAGACATATATGAACCAATCAGAGATAAATAATCAAAGTTTGGATTTAACCAATCAGATGTTTGCTTAGAATGTCATATTTACTTTGTCTCAAAATACAGATATATATATATATAGAGAGAGAGAGATCAGAACGACAAACACAACCAACAAAGGTAGTTGCCATGTTATGTTCAGTGACGGGGATTTTATTTGAGTTCTATTATTTCAATGCCTACAGACGTGTTATGTAACATGTCGTCTAATCTAATGAAATATTCAATAGATAACGAGCGGTCAATTTCAACATATAATGTGGGAGGTAAAAAAACCTTAGAGATTATATCTTCAAAGTGTTATTTATTTTGGTTAAATATATATATACATCATTATTTATGATGTGATATATGAGTTCATTTAGTTTTCCTAATAATGTCATCGATTCAAAAGAGAGAAAAAAACGTTACAAAGAATTTAGCATACAAATAGATTTTATTTGATAAGATTATGTGAAGATTGATTAAATCACAATTGATTGATCACTGGGTGGTGATCAATGTCATGCTTGTCTAGTCCTTATTAGTGCAGATCGAATGCTATCGATCATGTTACAATGTGGCCACCAGTCTAGGTGACTCGACACTGCGGGCACTATGTAATGAGATTAGATGGTGGTTGGAGGTAGTCAACAAGAAACCCTGGACCCGGGTTTCGTGCTACTTGGCACTCGTCAGCAAGGTGTACCTGTAATCTTGAGGGAACTGGCGAATTCGACCTCGTTTCACCCAGCTTCACAGTCAGAGACGTTACCACTTAGCTATCCGAGCCGTGATTGACCTCTTACCTCCAACCACCATCTAAAAGATTGATTAAATGTATAGGTTGTATTCATCAAACGTTTAAGCACCATTGGAAATCAGAGGAAACTGAATGAATGTTTCGTTTTATTATGAGACTTTTCAGTTGTGTTGACCAACAACACGATAACAATTGAAAAAAGGACTCTTAGGTCTATCTATTAGAGCCATGGTGTCATCATCTTACTGTGCCTATTCAACTTCAAAAAGCCTGTAATATAGCGTAAAAACCACTTAATACCATACTCATTCCTTGATGAGGTTGTTCCAGCTCCATATTGAAACGAAAAAACTAATCAGCTCTCTTTAGCTCCAAATGGTACCTCGAGTAAGATCAGTCAGTCTATGATGAGTATTGACAATAAAATAGGCTTTATCATCAATTCATCTTTTTTGAATGGACTTAAAGATAGTGAGACAGAATCATTCAGAGAAAACTTAAATTAAATATTGAGACTTATTTGATAGAACGTAATTAGTGTGAGGGGTTTGAGGGGGATTGCTGAGTTTTGTAGTTTACATAGTTGGATAACTTTCGAAAATCGGAAAGCACTCGAAAGTTGTTTTATTCTAACATAAGACTCTCCAGAAGGAAACATTCATTAATCTATCTATTAATCGGAAACAGACCCTTCATGACTCAAAGCAAGCGATTAGCACTTGGACTGCGCTCCCCACAATACATGAGAGTTTCGAGATAGATCTTCGGTGGGGTCATGGATGCGTCCTGCTAAATAGCCCCAAACTAGACTGAAGCACCTGTCCATTGCTTCTTTGTTTACAATGGTCATCTAACTAAGGAATTTCATGCTGTAAAATACACAAGTTAATTATCATATATATATCATTGATTTGTAAAGCTGACTGTGCTTATAAATTCTTAGCTTAATAACAAATTCTTCATGTTCTAATCTACAGTTGTAGTATGGTGTGTGCTACTGATGTCAACAAACATAAATAGTATGTATACATCAGTCAAAAGTGAAAAACCTGGTGGCAGAAGGTTTAGAAAATCGAAGAGAAAAGAACGAGAACAGAAAGTGATTGGTGTGGAAATGAAGTCTGAGACTATTGATGAATATCTCTCAGATGACATAATTCTGTATGATCCTCAGAATTAACCAAGATATAATGTAATATTGTATTAGAATACATTTGGTTGTACTCACTTGTGTTGTCGTTCACTACAGTAGTTGTAATGTATATGAATTATCGCTATCAACCAAAATAACTTCTTAATAACATAGATCAACTAGTGTCCATCGTGAATAGAACTTTGAAGTATATTTTTATGCTTGTTTTGCACTTATTAGTAAGATGCATCTATGACATTTAAGTAAATCGATATTTTCTTGAAGTATTTGGATCTACATTACACAAGATCGTAGTTAGTAAAGTTACAAACGGACTATTGATAACATGGTTGATTAAATAAATGTTATAACTGTGATAAACTAGTCTTAAGAATTGAAGAGCTGGAATTTTCACGATTCAGGGCTTAAGACAATGATTGACGGCAGGTAGAAAAGAATCTGTTCATTCACATTTTTATACAGAATGTAGTGACACTGAAAGATTGATTAGTTAGGTATTATGACACCTCATACGGAACGAATGTTGAACCTAATAAAAACACCATATCGAGTTTTATCGCTTCCTGAAAAAAATACTGGTTTAGTTGGGTGGTTATGTGTAAAGTTGCATTTTTGAAATGAAAACATGACAGAACTAGGCAGGTTTTTCATCCCACTTTATAAATCCTCAACTATGTATACCCAAAAGCTTCAATTGTTATTATAGTTCTTGATAACTCTCACACTTGAACGTTCGGAAACTAACCTCCTAACGTCTTCCAAATTCCTCCTCCCCAAGAAGTCGTCCTATATTGAATGCAGAACAGGAAATAAACGACGCGATTTATGGAAGGAGTTTGTATTGAAAGGTTACTTTCTATACAGAAAAAATGGGTATTGACGAGACTTTGAGTTTGTAGAATCTTCTGAAGAAGATATGATAACATTGATGATAAATCCAGTAAAGGTTCAGTTAGAATAATGAAAACATAATCCACCCTTGTCTAGTATTCTTCTAGAAGTTTTTAACGGACACTGATTGGTCGAAATATTACCAGGATTTTCCTAAACTTTAATGATAAGTCTTTTACTTGAATGCTTATTACGGCAAGAGTTTTGGCATTATAGCTGATGTCAGTTCGTGATGAAAACGCTAAATCTAATTTTTAACCCTAACTTTAAATGAGAATTCTAACTGCTTTATAGCCCTCATTCAGTCCTAATCAGTAGGTCTCCACTCTCACGGTCACTTCAGTGTCGCTCAAAGGTTATTCATAAATTATAGTCTCACCGCTTTTTACTGACTTTTTAGTTGCTTCCTTTAACTGTAGACAAATTCTACACTTTGACTCGAACAATCAAGTAAAAGAGTAAAATATGAATAAAATCTTTACTCTGAGGTTCACATCACTACAGAAAATAAACTTATCTAGAGGTGCATTGATAACTGTTAAACTTCAACAGCTTCTAGAAACACATTAAATTTTGGTGGAGTTTTGTTCTCTTAGCTGGATGGTTTGGTCGTGGAGCTATCGTCGTTCTTCTGAACGACATCATCAGCACAAACCTTAGGTAGAAGTGAATTTGAACCTCTCAACCAATCAACATCGTGGTGTACAGGAAAAGTTGTAAACCAAATGTAGAGAAATTCGAACACTTCACTTCTACCTGAAGTTTTTGCTGACGATGTCGTTCAGAAGAACAATGAATGCTCCACGATCAAACCATCCAGCTCAGAGAACAAAACTCCACTCAAATCATCCATCTGAGCTACAAATCTTCTCCACCAACACATTAAATTGAATAACCGAGCAAACAATCATTCAATCAGAGTCTGATATATAATTCATTAATTTTCTAGATATTTACATGGTGTCTACATTAACTGGAAGAAGTGTTTTCATCCTTAGCCTAGTTTCTAAAGATCTTATTTAGGGATTCACTTTTATATTCCAAAACCTATCATATGTGAATTCACATAAGAAAAGTATACAAAGTAGCTCAGTAGAATTATATTCTGTTACTATCACAAACCAAACCAATCTCTTTCAAGATATCATTATTTGTACAGAAATATGTGTACACAAGAAAATGGTTGAAAATTAATCATTGTAATATGTAAAACAATACAATAATACATAGTTGAATAAGATTAATGTTTAGTGAAACGGTAAATAAGATTAGATATATATTCAGTAGTTTTAGAAGGAAATAGTGTTCGAATTATCGGTTTGTAATGTAACAACAACATATAGGGTTATTCAATGTCCATAGTCACATTAATATTGACTTATAATGATAAGATAGTACAAGTATTTTGGTTAACAGATTCTTTATGCTTTTATTTTTCTATTTACATGTAAAGTGATGTAGTTTTCTTGTATGAAAGTTGAAAATGTTAGAATGAATAAAAAGACTCGTTACAAGTACATTATGGGGGTGAACCAATCATAATCAAGAATTTTATGGGAAATTCAAATACCATGTATGACAATCTGTAGAAATAACTCTAGGTATTATTCAAATCATTCACAATGATGGAGAAAAATCACCTTTTGCTACCGTTTATTAAAAATGATGGCGTTGAACAGACTGTGCTAGATTTTAAGCAAAGATGCATAGCGACTAGCAGTAGAGTCCAGGACACATGTTTCATTCTATTTGGGGCTCGTCAGTTGGATGTACCTCCATGTCAGAGTTGATGTCCACTTTGGGATTCGAATCCAGTACTATCTACTTCAAATGTCATCACCTTATCCACTTGGCCACTGAGTCCTGATAGCCACTTACTTTTCCAATAGGGTGAAGTTTAAATTCACTTGGTACTCTTTATTTGTATCTTCCCATTGATGTTTAGCATTTCAATTGATCAGTCCGTTATTGGTATATGTGCATACTTTGCGTATTGCCTCGATACTGCCTTAATTCACACTTACTTACTTACCTACGCCTGCTAATCCTTGTGAAGGAGCATAGGCCGCTCACCAGCATTCTCCATCCAACCCTGTCCTGGGCAATCCTTTCCAACCTCAATTCACAGGCATTATCAATTAACATTCTGATAATAAAATATATCATCTAGTTCTATCTATGTTGAATAACAATTCACTTCTAAGCAATTTTGTATGATGTATACAATCAGGAAGATAGAAATTAACATTCAATATAAAATATTCAATTTATAACATTTCTTGTAAATATGTGAACCTTATTCATGAAAATGTTTTCTCTACTTAAATTACAATAATCATATTCTTAAATGCATTCAAGTGAGAGAAAATTGGTCAAGATTGACCAATCTAATATATAGTTGGCAATTTACTTGCTCTTCTAAAGAGAGGTATTTAGGTCGTTCATCGAGGTTACTTTTTTTATTACATTCGAGAGCATTTACCAATGTAGTTTATCAAAGAGTAACACAATTTGATGATATCACAAATTCGATGGCATGGTGTAAACACTGAATATTCAGCCGCTGACTGGTCATTTGAGGTCATCTATAAAATCCACTCAAAGATACCAATAGGTGAACGCTTTGATCTGTGGTATGTGTTACTGATGTCAACAGTTATAAGTAGTGCGTATCACTAATAGAAAGTAAAATGCCTGGTGACAGAGGGTTAAGAAGATTAAAGTAAACGGAGTGATAAATGAGGGAAAGAAGGAAAATTCAAGTTTAAGACAATTGATTGACACTTTGCAAATGACGTAATCACTGTATGGTTCTCAGATGTTACTAAGTGGTTCTATAATTTTGCGTTCAGATACATTCGATTGTCCCACTTTTGTGTTCTCGTTTACTACAAATTGACTTTATACTGAAGAAGATTTGGGTATTTATAATTTAAGGCCTGGGTTTTATGCAAAAGAAAAATTGTTTGGATACTTTTCTTTACTTACTTACTTAAATACGCCTGTTACTCCCAATAAAGCATAGGCCAACAACCAGCATTCTCCAACCGACTCTGTCTTCGGCCTTCCTTTCAACTTCTATCCCATTGTTGTTTATTCTTCTCACGTCTGTCTCCATTTCTCGGTGCAATGCGCTTTTTGGTATTCCTCTTCTAATTCGGCCTTGAAGATTCCATGTGAGGGCTTGCCTCCTGACACATTAGGGTACTTTCCTCAATGTGTGTCCTATCTACTTCCAGCATTTCTTCCTGATTTCCTCCTCCGCTGGGATCTGGTTTGTTATCTCCCATAGTCTCTGGCCAACGAATCGGAAGTATTTTCCGTAGACAACTATTATTAAACACCTGAATCTTATGCATCATGGGTTTAGCAGTTCTCCAGGTTTTCGCCCCATACAGCAGAACTGTCTTGGCATTTGTATTGAAAATTATGACCTTGTTGTTGGTTGACAGACACTTGTTTTGATTTACAGGTGTTCCTCAATTGCAAATATGCTGCTCTTGCTTTTCCGATCCGCGCATTCACATCTGCATCAGATCGACCATGCTCATCAATGATGCTGTCCATATATATATAAAGGTTTTTACATCTTCCAAGTCTTCTCCATCAAGTGTGTTTTGGCTGATGAGTGTTGTGTTACATAGGAGAATCTTGCTTTTACCTTTGTGTAAGTTCAGACCTACTGTTGCTGAGGCTGTTGCTACACTGGTAGTCTTCTCCTGCACTTGTTGTTGCGTGTGCAATAGAAGGACTCGGTCATCTGTGAAGTCTAGATCGTCCACACTTTCCGTTGTGTAACTTACATAGCGTGACATACTGTTGATTGCTAACAAATACATTGCTACACACATATCCCTCGTTCTATTTTCGCTTGTGATTGAGTTAACTGAAACATAAATCAAATATTACCTACATTTATAGAATGTGAGTGGGAATATATCAT